CAAACATAGTACACAAATATACATCTCCATTGCTGCACCTCTGGAGATCCAGGGTATGAAATTTCCTCTTGTTACAGCATGTTCCATAGTCCTCATTTTGTATTTAAAACTGAGAACAATTTGCGATGCCTCACTTTCAAGAATCGATTTTTAGCTTGAAATCACAAAAAGTGAAACAAAAGGTGTTATGCCACAAACCTTAAAGCGCGTGCTCTGACCAGATCCATATCGTCGGATTCTCATTCGGTTGCCAAGAGGCGCACGTGATTTCTGGATCACACGTGGGCTGGTTCTTTTCCAGGCTCCATGACACATGTCAATATTTACCACATCGTTATTCTCGCGAATGGCTACACCACAGTTACATACAACTCTCCAGCAAGGCCACAGACGAGCGTGCACCTAACAAAACGACATGGATGGAAGTGAAAAAAAGAATCAGCACTTGTACCAAAGGCGCACACTGCCGAAGTTTATCTCTGTTTCTGACGCCTGACGGGACTAGGAGTATTTCTACTACCCCTGAATGGGATGCTACTCCATCACAGCATTCCTTTCAGTACTTTGTCAAGTTTCCCTGACAGTTTGTGGTTACCCGCACATACTCCTGGATGGAGAGAGGCCTGGTGTCAAACACGTAACTCTCGCCAGGAACGCAATATCAGGACCCGGCCAGGGGCCCGTTTCTCGAAAGTCCTGGTAACTTAACGGGCCCGTAAAGCTCTTCTGTTTTCATTCAAGATGGGGATTTCAAAAGTTTTGAAAATGATACAATAAAACTATAAGCTAAAGAAGCAGAAAGGACTGGTTTATGTGCCAGAACCCGGTTTCCTATCCTTTAAATTTTGAATTTAAAACATGGCTTCGGGCCCGTTAAGTTACCGGAACTTTCGAGAAACGGGCCCCGGGTCTCAGACCCAGACCTCTGTGATCGACCTCTAAAGGGTTAATCGTTACGTCACTTCTTTCAAGGCCGTTACCTATAGCCCAAAAGCCTGAATGGTGCGCGCACCTGGCTGTTAAATTACAATGAAAATCCATACCTCAAAGTTCCTTCTCAAACTCTTAACCATAACGTAGGTTCCAGCATTCCTGAGAATGTCGTAATACCTGAAAGAGAAAAGCACACAGCAATGTTAAACACCAACAAACAAACAGCTCCCACCACGAGGCATGACTTGAGTGATTTAGTCCAAGAAAGAAGTACTAAAAATATACAAGGAGGGGCCAATTCAAACACAAAAATACAAATAAAGGCAATCTCTTGCATCATCTCTCGAAAATGCAGCGTTCACACTAGCGTTTTCGTGGAGCAGGAAAACAATCGACAAATATCATGTTTTCAGGGCATTCACTGTTGGTCATTCTGCGGGAAAATGCTTGAATTTGCCATCCGTTGGCATCATTTTGAATTTTCCAGTCATTCGCTATTTCGGAAAATTAGCCATGAACGAAGATTTTTACGCCGTGTTTGGTAGTGGAATGCAGCCTTCTCGTCACGGTGTTCTGGTATACGAGTGTCTCAGTAGCTCTTTCATGAAGAGCAGTTAACTCAAAAATTAACTTACTTGTTATCAAATGTACGATAATGAGGATCTCCAGTTCCCTGACATTTCTTGAAACCTCTGTTGGATGTAATGACCTAAAAAATTGATCAGTTAAGTTTGTCAGTTAGGTCGCTTGGAGCTTTGTCTTATTCGAAAGACCCTCTGAATGTTTTCCTATCAGATTTATATGATTATAAAATCGGCTTCAGAGGCGTTTAGGTACATAGAAAAACACAAAAACTGACAAAAACAAAACTTGTTTTGAAGCAGCTTTCTGTGGCATTAAAGAATTTCGCCTCTGAATAGAATTACACCTTGAAGAGATCTTTTGCTAAAGTAGACAAAGAACAAAATGACCAGAAAAACCCCCAAAACGACCATGTTTTAGGATGTAAAGGATTAACACCGATTGGAAATCATGATTTTGAAATATTCCAGCTGAATTTTTCAAAACGGATAAACCAAAACGTGGCCCCGTTTATACGTTCATGCTAATAAACAAAATGAAAACGCCAATAACCAGATGGAATAATTTTCACCTAGAAGTCAAGAACGAAAAAAAAAAAAAAAAGAAAAACTACCAAACTGTATTGGTATCGCATTAATACGCACTGTGATTGGTCAATAAATTTCGCACTATTCTCTCAACCAATCACGACTGACTTGGTCGCTTAAGTTTTCCCGCGCTTCAAGCAGTTTTTTTAATTGGAGTTGTCACCAGCTCGTTATGACACTTTCCCTTGTATTGATCGATCATTGAGATAAGGCTGGTTGATGTTGTTGTTGTTGTTGTTTGACCTCACTCAATCGGTAAGACCGCTAATCATTAATTCAATGCGTACCTTGATGGGAGGGGGAGTATAACCCTTCCAGAATCCACAGAGTCCAGGAGTGGACCTAATGGGACTAAAGTAAGCTCGGATGTTACTTCTCTTGAGTTTTCTGAAATCTCTCACAGGTTTGAGGTAAAATCCATAATTCTTCCTGTTTCTCTCTGTCAGAGTCATTTTACATCTGTCCGTCACAAATCTTGTATGAGACTGGAATTTGATGATCACAGAGCAACTTCTACGACCCCGGCATCTGATTGGTACCAAGCTACGAAGTCTGATTAATTTCCAGCCTGAGCTGTCTGTCATTGTTAGCGCTTTAGGATTGACCTGAAAAAAGAAATCATCAAAAGAGACAAATCAGAAAAAGAAATTGAATGCTAATAGCATTGTCGCGTATGAACTTAGTGATACCCTAGCTCACCGTAGAATCTCTATGGCTGCTCAGTGTCGGAGCGAAAGAGGTCTGAGGCTCGATTCCTCATCAGGGGGGGGTCCCACATTCGCGACAAGACCAAAGCATCCCTCTTTGAGAGAAAGATTGCCTTTGTAACGATTTAAATGTTTTAGATTGTCTCAGAATTTTTTGGCTAACAAAGTTACTTGTTGGATTAAGAAAGGTGGTAAGTTTTGGGCTCTGTCGTCGAACATTCACCCACACTACGTTTCCATCACTGTCGATTCAAGCAGTATGCAAGACACTTGTCTAGACCGCAGGTGAACTAGACCTTAGATCGTAGACCGAGTTAAACCTTAGACCAAGCTAAATCTTACACTTCCCCTTGACCTTAGCTCAAGCTAGACCTTTTTCTACAGACTAGGGAAGGGTCTAGCTCTGCAACGAGTTAGTCTGAAGTACAGTGAACACTAAACCTGGAAAATCCGAAGATCTTATTTTCTCTTCCTAGAAGATGACTTACATTTTTCCTTTTGTCTCACCTTCATGACAAACGAATAACATCTCTCTCTTAAGTTTCTAGCTTTTAAAATTAATTGGCATATATCTTTAGCCACTTAACCTTTTACTCTCAAGATCTTCTTGGTAATTCCCCTTCCTGTATGCCATACATTGGTATGATGTTAGTTAGGAGAATTTGGTAATGGATCAACTATAATCTCAGACATTTTTCTTTATTCTCATCACTTGTCTACTTGAGTGCAGAGGGCGTGAAATTTTACCTTGATGCCTGTGAAAAGTGCTTTACTCAATTGGGCCATTGTCCAATCCTTTCCGCTGGAATACCGTGCCTTTACTTTACAGGAAACCTGTGAGTATTTAACACAAAGTTTCGATCTCTTCTTCGCATATCAAAAAACATATTGGGACAATTGCACAGTACAAGGCAATCAAAAGGCGTACGCTATAGTCGGAAAACCTTCAACCTTCATTTTCAGGTGTAACCATTATTGTATCTAACAACAATATTAAATTGTCCCGCAAGGTCTTCGTTTTGATTTGGGTTGTCTCCAGTTTATATGATTCTCATATAATTTTCATGTTTGTGAGTGATAACGTTGCATACTAAGAAGACTTTTGTATACCATGTTTGTGAACGCTGTCTCGTTAGGTACGACTCACTTTAAAATAATGAATAACTTGACCCATGAGACTTCCAATTACCAGCTCTTCTCTAAGAGTTCAAGTTTTGCTGCTTACAAGTTTGTTCCTCAGATTTTGTCATACGATTTTTTTATCGACAAAATAATTGTTATAACTCAAGATTAATTGATCAAGCAACAAACCAAATAATTGTCTAGGTAACTTGACAAAGGACGATTTCTTTCTACAAACCGTTGTTCCAGCTTTGAATCCATAAGTGTTTTCCAAGAGATCAGCATAGTTTCCTCGAACAGTTTCTGCCTTGGTAACTTTCTTGTTCACAATCCAGTGTACACGAGCTATGATTCGGCTGTTTCTTCGTCCCCTGGCGTTGAAGTAGCATCGAAGTGCGATCTTCGCACAGCCGCGGCCAGGCTTGGTGACAGCACGGACGACTGGATGGGAAATCTCCGGATAATCTGCCACAAAAAGATCAACCAATAACTAATTAAATTAACAAACAAGAAACAATCAATCAATCAAACAATCATCCAGCCAGCCAGCCAGTAATACGTCAAGCCAGTCAATCTGTCAATGAGTCGGTGAGTTAGTGAGTCCACCAGTGTTTCAGTCAGCGAATGAGTGAGTTAGTCAATGAATAAGATAGATAAACACTCATTCAGTCAGTCAGTCAGTCAGTCAGTTATTCAGACAATCTGTCAATCAGTCAACCAATCAATCAGTCAATCAGTCAGTTAGTCAGTCAGTAAGTCAGTCAGTCAGTCAGTCAGTCAGTCAGTCAGTCAGTCATTCTTGGCATGACGGGCCATTCAATAATTCCAATCATTTATTTCGCTCATTTCCTGGCCAGTTACGGAGGTCAATAAATTTGAAGAACCGAAATCGACTTCATAATGTTGCAGAGCCTTAGAACAAATGAAAGCCCACTAAGGGGTTTCGCTGAACATATTTCAAATCTACTTTAAGAGTTTTGGTTTCCACTGAATAACACAGATCATAGCTGTTAGTGTATTTAGACGCAGATGTACCAAAAACTGCACTTTTAATAAATTCAAACCTTACCTGCGCGACAGCCGTACACTTCAACCCTCATAGATATATGACCGTGCCAAGATCTGGGGTTGAACCGCACATACCGTCCGTTCTTTGGTGGGTCAATGGGCTGCTCCACTACGGAAAACCGGTCAAAGTTGCCACGGAATAGCTGAAATAGAACACATAAAAGCTTTTGTGAGTCATCTGTTTGTAAAACTCCCAGGATACGATGGAAATTACCCCCACCCCCAACTTTATGTTGACTTCCCTTCAAAACAGTACTGAAAAATTAATGTTACATCAGGATAAAACTTGAGATTCAATCTTTTGTACAGCGGGACCTCCGTTCAGGGGGGCACCCTCGGGAATATAAAATGTGACCCTTGAAAAGAGGTGTCCCTTCAGTAAAGGTGACAGATAGAGTGGAACCTCCATTACGGTGGCACTGTTGGGACGCAGAAAGTGTCCCCCGCGTCAAGGTGTCCCTTTAATGAGGCCATAGATACAAAGGTAATAGGAACATGTCTTTCGTTGTGATTAAGGTTTGAGAGTCCCTTGGATGGTAATGTTCTCTGAATAGAGAGTTTCCCAAGAGTGGATCTATCGTATTTTACATCAATAGTAATTTGTTTTACAAACCTTAATCTTGGCTCCATCCTTAATGGGTAGGAAAGTCCTTCCGTTTTGACTGTAGTACAGATAGTAGTTCCTGACAAACTGGTTTGCATCATATCGACCCTGAGTGGCGACCTTAGTTATCCTGGTTGGTCCTCCAAGATTGATTTGTAAGAACTGCTGATGATTGTTATGTCTTGCACACCATGCACCCACCAGATGACCTACTTTCCTGTAAAATATAACACGTTTGATTCAGACCCTTGAGCAATTTTCCTTTGGAAGTGTCTTAGACGAGTCATTTACAGCGACAATTTTTTTTTTGATAACCTGCCCTGTTGTGCTAAAAGGGCCTGGGCCTGGTTTTATCTCGACGTGGAGTGAGAACGTTTGTCGAAAAGAGGTTGGTACAAAACAAAAAACCAATTCTTTTCGTCGTCTGGACCTAGCTTTATCCCCTTCATGTTCGCAATACCACACGAGAAAAAGAGACTGCACGGAGTAATCTCCTGATACAGTCTCGCCAGTTGACTTACTTTATGTTGAGCCGCGCCCGAGTTGGATTGTGGTTCTTGTCCCATTGCGACGAGGCTCTGATCGCGCTGTTTGGTATCTTACCGTTCTGCATTCCCAATGGCTGGAAGCACATGCGGAGCATGCCTAACAAAAAACAACAAAAACTGATTAAAATAGAAAAAAGAAGTTAAGAAGAGAACGATTTGATAAAGTGCTTTGGACATACAGTTTCAGCAAGAAAGTTCTGACTTCTTTACGTAAGTAGCGAGTGTTTCTTACTTTGATATTTTTGTTGCTTGATGTAAACAAGAGTTCAGTGGCGATGGATGAGAACTTTCAAAAGATTTTTCTTTTCTTAATCAGCCCTATTCCTCGATTGAAACAATATTCTTACTTCACAAAGGAAAGCTGAGCTTTATTTGCTTACCTCTATTGCACCCATAAAGCTCCGCTCTCATGGAGATATGACTGTGCCACTGCTTGGGATAAAATCGGACAAACCGAGCGTGGAAACTGGGGTAGAGCCTGTTAAAGACTACAGTGTTCCTGTCACTGTTACCGGCGAACATCTGTGAGAAATTACAAAAAAATAATGTCATCAGATTTCAATCAATTAAATCTAGATACTGGTAAAGATAATTTGGAATATACAAGGAGGAAGAGTAAAGCAGTTCCTACCACAACTTTTCTGTTAATAGTGTAGAACTTAAACTTGCTTCCATACAAGCCGTAGCTTATCTCGTATTTCTTCACCCACTGGTTGGCATCGTATCGACCTTGCGTTGCCACAGCAACAACCTTTGACACCTCACCAAGGTCAATCTGTATCCACTGGAATACATTGTTATAACGCGACGACCAGGCTCCAGTGCCTCCACGGTTCAAAAGATTCAAACGAGCTCTATAAGGACCATGCCGCCAATCCCACATTGAAGAGGCTGTCATAGCATACTTTGGAATACGGCCATCCTCAAAACCGAGTGCAGCACCACAAGCACCTGTATAACAGAAATGGATTGTCAGTGTGAATTTCCTTGCTCCACTTATGCGGGAGTATCATGGCCCCAGCTGTAAGACCTTGAAGCATTTCTTGCTTCAGGTTAGTCACCTGATGCAGAGAAAACAAAGATTCTCCTAACACCAGTGTAGGCCGGAAAAGGTTACGCGCGGAATTTTTTTCTGTGAACCACCATTACAAAAATATCTAATCATCAATCATTCGTAGTGTGTGTTTGTGACAGTTCCTCTATACTTTTCTTTGAAATAATCTTTACCAAGAACTCGAGGAGATTCCAGTTATTGTAACAATGTATATAACTTATCAATACACAGGCGTCTTAAGTTAAATTTATTTCCATTTACAAAGTGTTTACATTTAACATTACCTAGAGCACAGCCAAACAGCTCGACCCGCATGGAGATATGGCCATGCCATGACCAGGGATGGATTCGAAGGAAGCGAGCCCGGATAGACGGGATAATCGAGTTGTACACTATTGAATTTCTGTCACGGTTACCGCGGAAATACTAAAAAAAGAAGTAAGATGTCGGTATAATGTGCAAAACATATAAGTGCAATACAGCTTCTAAAATAGAACAGACGAAATTGCTGAGGACAAAATAGGTTCTCACTTAGTGTAACCGGCAAAACACGGAAAGATAAAAGAGCCACTATCTCACAAATGAACCAGTGCAGGGAAAAAATTGGTTTTTCACCTCCTACCCTTATAATTACAAATAATTTTTAATCTCTGAACCCTTTAACTTCCAGTAGTGATCAACATGTAACTTCTTCCTATAATATCCCTACATTATCCAGCAATCACATGCTGAGAATACTCAAACTTAACGGGTCGAAGTGTCTATCTTAATCTAACTCCATAATTCTCGTAACTAATTCCTGGAAATGTGTAGCAGCTAGAGGGGAGACTTAACAATCAGATCTTGGGAGGTGAAAGGTGAGGCTATATTCTAAGGTTCGAAATTCTGTTAACTTCTCTGAAAAAAATGCGATATAGTCTTAATGTGCCTGGGGGGGGGAGAGGGATACTTTTTACACCATATACTTACAAAATAGGTGACCCATAATTTTCGTCCATGAATATCGACGTTCAGTTTTTCATCTGAGGCTTACTTTCTTACTTTACGTGGCTGAGTTTCACTCTAGACACACTTGCAGGTCACTTTGATTCTCACCTTATCAACAGAGTTCTTTCTGTATCTAGCAAAGTGCACACCATCTACACTAGATGACAAGTAGTAAACTGTCACCCACTGATTCACTGCAGCTCGTCCTTGTGTTCCCACACGTATAATCTTTGATATTCTGCCCAGGTCTACCTGTAGATACTGGTGACGATTGTTATGCCTTAGAATAAAAAAAGACAAACTTTGTTGATTGTTTCAAACAGATATAAATGAAACTGAACTTCATTAGTGAAGGAGTAAACTATTTTTTCCCTGTGTGAATGTTTTTCAAGGTCACTTAGACCACAAAATGTTATTAGCTTAAAATATCAAACACACTAACCGTGAAAACATAGTTCTAGCATTATGCAATAGCAAAATGTATAAATTTTAGTGCCAAATGCGTGAGTTAGCCTTTTTGAACACTTGCAAAGATCAAAGTCTCATATCTCATGCGCACAAAAGTCAATGACACTATGCACGGTGTAAACCCTTCCTTAATCATCATTGATAAAACATTTTAAAAGTCTTGTTAAATCACCTGGCTGACCAAGCGCTCTGGTATCTGCCCATGCGTCGTGCATTAAGTCTGGCCAAAAATGGTCCATGGTATTTATCCCACATGGATGATGCTGTAATAGCCGAATTTTTAATTGCTCCGGTCATCATGCCAAGCGGTCGATTACACATATGACCTGGAAAAAACAGCATTTCCAAGAACATGAATACAGAAGATTCGACAAACCCCAACAAACAAAAAGTTCGCGTAAAATGATTTTTTCGAATATGCGAATATTCCCTCGGGAAATATATGCTGACAAGTTGCTTAGTCTTAAAAGAGACATTTTGTATATTGAAAGGAGAATTTCGGAGAAAATCTCAATAATGACAAAATCTACCAGTTTGAATAAATTGACGCAGACACCTGACGAACAAACCGTAAAAGGTACCTCTTACTAATCTATCAAACTCTTTTAAAAGTACAATTACGAAGACAATGTGCGATCCTTGCAGATGTAAATTCGGCTGACGACTTGAAATTTCTTACCTCTACTACAGCCGTAAAGCTCAAGCCTCATCGATATGTGGCCATGCCAAGTCTGCGGATACATTCTCATAAAGCGAGCACGGATCGGTGACCGGAAACGGTTTATAACGACAATTTGTCTCTCGGAATTTCCTTGAAAGACCTGTTTAAATCGAGAAAACAAAATGGTTATGAGCATTAAAGAAGGAAAATTGAAATAGTCTAAATGTATGGAAAGTGGGCAAGTGTCCTTTGGCCACAGTAAAAGACAATTTTAGGTACACAACCTTTTAGTGTTATTAGTGTTACCCAGATTATTGCCCGCGCGTTCATCAACACAAGACCCCGTACACAGACTTTCGTCGCTCACAACAATAACTCCAACCAACGTTAGCTACATTTTTACCGACACTCTCGGTTATAAGAACAAATACGACTAACTTTGAAAAGTGCGAAACTTTGAGACTCGGAACTCATGCCTAAAATACATGAACCTCATCGTTCATCATCATCATCTTTATTTGCCTTATTTTAACAATAAAAAATATTTAATTACAGCGATAACAGTTAGAAGGCGAGGAGACCCAAGAAGCCACCAGGCTTGTGGGAGAGCCACCTCACTTACAATAATAAATTAAGTAAAGAAAAAGTGCTGCGAATGTGCGGCTTGGCCAATTCAGTGATTATTTAAGTAAAAACTCTTGCAATTTCGTTTTAAAGCTGAGAAAGTTTGACGAACGAGTGACTGAAATAGGGAGAGAGTTCCAAATTTTAGGACCTTAGTAGAGAATTGTAAATTGCTTGACATTTGTACGGCATGAATGCGTTCGATAATTACTGGCTGTTCTGGTACCATAGTTGTGAATTTGGCTATTCCTTACAAAAAGATCGAGAAGCAATGGGGGCAATAAGTTATTTTTGAAATAAAACATAAATTTGGCGATTTCAAACGTACTGACTTGGAAAATATCTAAAATTCCTAGTTTGGAGAATAAAGGGGCAGAGTGGTCTCGATAGTCTGAGTTTTTGATAGCCCGCACAGCTCGCTTTTGCAAACAATAAATTCTATTTAAGTTAGATATCGTTAAGATTAATGAGAACAACGAGATCGGTTGAAAACTTTACGAGAGGCACAATCTGCCAAGGAACTATTCTCGAACCCCTCTACAGTGAGATTCACATACCCTTGTTCGCCCTCCTTCCTTGTAGAACCTGAAGCGGAATCCATTCATTCCATAGGAAACTGTAAAGCTCTTCACCCACTGATTAGCGTCGTATCTTCCTTGGATTCCTATCTTAATGACAATCGCTCGGTTTCCGAGGTCAATCTGGAACCACTGACGCCTGTTATTGTAACGTGCTATCCATGAGCCGTATCTTGAGCCACTGCGCATGGCATTCAGTCTACCTTGGTAGGCAGCATAATGAGAGTTGTAGATAGAGGATGCAGTGAAAGATACATCAGGTAAGCGACCGTCTTCTGAGCCTAGTGGAATATCACAGCGCTCTGGAAAGGAGAAAGTGTTTGATTAGTACTGCTAAAAAGACAATTTGACCGGAAGATTTCCTACGATTCCTCCAAACTATATTTATGTATCCGATAGTAAAACGAAGTCAGTTGCTTCAGCTATGTTTTGGTTTATATGCGCAGTGTTTCTCACCTGGAGTACAACCATGCAGCTCAAGTCTCATGGAGATATGCCTGTACCAGCCACGGGGGTGAATACGGACGTAACGCGCCACTATAGGTGGGATCAGTGTGCGTGTAACAATCGATTCTCCATCGTAGTTTCCTACAAAGTACTGTATGGGGAAAACAATTATGAAAGAATAGTCTATTAATGCCTTCAAGAGCGACGTTAAAATCCTGTTTGACTTTCAATTCTTCACCAGGGGTAACTGCGTTTTCAATAACCAGCCCCTTGTGAATGTCATATTGCCCTCTAGAAGATATCGAAACTCATCCTAGGGCAAATTGTTTATTTTCTGCTCCCCATAGTATCACATCCTTTTTAACCAATTGGGTTCTTTCAAAATACAATGAAACCACACGCCCTTATTTTTAATTCTGACATCTATTTCGTGTCTTCTTCTTCAGAGTGGCCAAGGTCAAACCATACCAACTTAGAAAGCCATGTCATGAGACGAAAGTAACGAGATAAAAAAATAGATATTTAACAGAAAGACGCATGTATACCTTCAGTCGATCCCTCTGTTTGTAAGAAACGTAGTGAACGGCATCCAAACTGTATGAGACTGTATATCGTGTCACCCACTGCTTCACAATTTTCCTTCCTTGTGTCGATATCATAGTAACCTTAAAGAGGCGACCGAGATCAACCTGTATCCACTGGTTATGGTTATTGTGTCTAGCGGCCCAGCCTCCCATGTAACGACCAGTGCGCACGCGTTTGAGTCTTCCAAGGAATGGTGCGTGGTAACGGTTCCATATAGACGATGAGGTCATCTGACCATTCTTGATGCGGCCGCTTTGCACGCCAAGAGGGAAGCTGCACAATCTTGTCAACTCTGGAACACAAAGGAAGATGCCAGTTATCTCTCTATTAACATAACCATCAAAGAGCTGACACATTTTCGTGTGGGACAGCTCGATCGCTGGGTAGGCTAAGAAGTTGGGTCTTATTTCAGTCACAAACTTCCATGAGACAGCAAATTCTCTAGTCAGACACTCTATTAGCGAAAACATTATACTGAGTCAGACAGTTTACTCAAAGCAAACTTGTAAGTCAAACACCTATTCCTAACACAAGACGCGTTTACACGAAAGAAAGAAGATTGGTTACTTTTAAATCCTCAAAGGATCTTTGTAAAAAGTATTAATCTAGGAATAACGTCAAAGAAGTTACCCAATGAAGCATAGGTTCTATGCTAGTGACTCACTCCTTTAGCCTGATCATCCCTTGTTAAAATATTCAACTGATTATTTACGGTTATAAATAATTTGTACCCTTAAGGCATCCGTAGACTTCAGCTCTCATTGATATGTGACTTCTCCACGATTTAGGATGGAAACGGACAAACTGCGCTTTGAATGGTCTGAGTAATGTGTAGAGTACAACTGAATTTCTATCTGAGTTTCCACGGAACATCTATAAGATGGAGAGAAAAACGACGAAGTTAGAATACACTGAATACTGCCCCTTCAAAATGGTAGCCAGGTAACCCGGAAAAATTTCAGCTCGCTTGAGAGAGCTAATCTTTCAGTGGAGTTACTTTCAGATGGGAAGTGTAAGCTCTGTTTCATCCTGACAATCCAGGCGGGATAGATCGCATGGGAAATTTTTGAACACGGTTGCCAAATTCTCGGCTACAAAACCAGGATCGTGAATACAGGACGAGCCCGTTTTCTCGCACATGAACACATAATCAAAGAGGGACAATGCTTCAAAGTGACCCTTTAACACAACTTACCCTGACTTTACTCCTTTCCCTATAAGCCACAAACTTGGTTCCATCTCCATACGACAGCACATAACGAGTCACCCATTGATGCGCGTCCCGTCTGCCCTGTGTTGCGATTCCTGTAACACGTCCAATATTTCCAAGGTTTATCTGCAGAAACTGCCGAGCGTTATTCACACGTGAACTCCAAGAACGGATAGAATTGAGTCGTCCCAGCCAAGGAGCCAAGTGGTGATTGTAATATGTTGAAGCGCTAAGAGCACCGTCCAATATACGTTTGTCTTCCAAACCAAGGGGAAGAGCGCAGCGTCCTGAAAAGGCGGCAAGTAGAGGAGAAAAGGATCGTAATTAAGCAAGTGATACTGTATAAAGAACGCTTGGTAGCAACATTAAGATAGTTATACCAAAAATATTTCATTATTACTGTGCATTTCAATGACATTGGGGACCATAAAGTTCACTTTGACTTGCCATTAATCATGTTACGGAAGAAAATTCCCAACCACAAGTTTGGTTCCAAGCCTTAGAATTCGCATGTGCCTGAGAAGTGTACTAAGGCAAAGTAACCAATTCAATTAATCCATTTTATTTTTGATAACTATATCCAGAGCACAAAATGTTTTTTCAATTTTTTAATTTCTTCTTTTTTTTTAAGGGCACAAACCAAATAAATGAAAATAAATTGAACAAGACTTCACAACAAAAAAAAAAAGACAAATGAGCGGTTGAATTTTCGTAAACAATATGTCAGACCACCACCACTTTTAACAGGCGTACAGTCAAATAAAGAAACAAACAAACAGAAGTAAAATGGGCAGCACTTACCAGCTGGACAGCCATTGACTTCAACTCTCATAGAGATGTGTCTATACCATCCTTTGGGTAGGAATCGTATGAACCTGGCGCGAGCGACTGGGAACAGTCTGTGCTGCTTGATGGTGTTTCTATCGCGGTTTCCACTAAAGTACTAAGAAATATGACATAAAAGAAAATACACATTTCTTACTGATTGACAAGGAGTTAATTAGAGAGATTGAGCAGAAAATCCACAAAATTAAAAACAAATGCTTTCTTCCGACATTTATGAAACTTCAGTTTTCAAAATCTGTGTAGTTGCAAAACCGATCTATTTTGATCTTACTCAGTAATAGTTCATTAAGGCTTCAATTTTACAATGTAGCTCTAGCCAAGTTGTTGGTAGTGGAGGACGAAGTTAGTCACTAAAAAAAACAACGTTAGTACTCGACAGGGAAAATTAAGGGATGTATGTATGGATGAATGAGTGAATCAATGAATGAATGAATAAATGAATAAATGAAAAAGGAATGAATTAAAAAGAAATGAATGAATGAATGATTGAATGAATGGATAAAAGAATGAATGACTGAATATATTAAACAATAGAAGAGAGAATCCATAAATCAACAACATACCCATGCTCTTCCTTGCGACCAATATAGTGCGAAATGTGCTCCATCAAGACTGAACGACAGCATATATTTAGTCACCCACTGATTGGCATCACTTCTTCCCTGAGTCGCGACACTTGTCACCTTCATTGGTACCCGTAGATCAATCTGTAGAAACTGATGAACGTTATTCACACGTGCTGACCACGCCCCCATGGTTCGCCCTGTGCGCTTCTGATTGAGCCTGGCCAGACGTGCACCGTGGTTTACGTCCCACTCTGAAGAAGCGCTGATCTGCTGGTTGCGTATGCGGCGGTTTTCCATTCCTATTGGCCGATTGCATTGTGGACCTGTAGGTAAACAAGCTTTGGTTACATTCTGGAAGACGCATTTTTGTACAACTCGCATCTGCAAAGGACCTTGGGCTATTGCGTTTCAGTGAGCACCGCTCCAAAGGTTAAATTGAGCCACCTCGTAATACAAGAACCACTACCACTCTGTCATATCTGAAGTTGGCGTTACACATGTTTTAGTATTACAAATGTTAACATCATCAATATCCATTTAAAAAAGTCCGACGTGGATCTTCGAGACGGCATAGACCTGGATCTCGTCAATCTCTAATCTCTAAACGGCGAGGAAAGGGAGAGGAGACTATAAAGTGTATTAATTTCAGCTTAAAAAATGCTTATAACAAGCTACATTTGTGGAAAAAATTCATGCAAAAATTAAAAAATTACTGACCGATGATGCAGCCATAGAACTCCAATCTCATGGACATCCATTTATGATACGCTCTGGGGTGAACTCGCATATATCGAGCAGTGATTGGTCGGTTTAAGGTGTGTTTTACCACGATGTAACGGTCATAATTCCCTCGGAACAACTAAAACAAATTCGCGAAGGATTCAATCGTTTAACAGATGAAAAGGGCGCAAATAAATTAAAAATAAAATAAAAAATTGACATTTTTGCAAAGAAACAGACAGAGAAATGTGAAAATTCAACACAGAAAAAAACAAGGAAATAGAAAACTTTTTCCATGCACATTAACCAAAGAAAACCAGGCTAAAAGACAGCAAAGAGTAGTAAAACAAATAACAACTCCGAACAAAGAAAAAAAAGGAAGAAATAAAGAAAACCAGAATATAAGATACAGAACTAAAAGCAAAGATGAAACCCGAACAAAAAATAATTATGTTATTTCTGGAGAACTTCCCCAAAAAGCGCAAGATACCTTGACAACTCTTCTTTCTGTGTAATATCTGTAAGAGGAACCGTCACGGCTGTATGATATTCTGTAAGTTTTGACCCACTGTTCAGCGTCAAATCGGCCTTGAGTGGCAATCCCTGTTACCCTCGTTACTGCCTCAAAATCAACCTGTTAGGAAGACGCATTTTGGATATAAGACAACAGTCGCGATGACAAGTGATCCGAAGTATCTCGAGATTAGTATATGTTTGAAAGCCGTTCCGAAGAATCTCGACATTACTTTATTTTTTGGTGTTCCGTCCGACCACAAGCTACCGCAAGGACATAGAGTATTACCTTTACCTTGTAAGGATCACATTGTCACCCACTTACTTGTAGCCATTGTCTGAGATCATTCTTTCGAGTACACCATGATCCTCCCATTCTACCCGCTCGTCTCTGGTGCAGACGAGCATTCCACGGTCCACAGTAAAAACTGTGGTAGGATGATGCAGTGATTAGAGGGTTTGCGATACGACGGTCCGCAACACCAAGAGGCATGTTACAACGATCTGAAGAGAAAAACGACACCGGTGCAGTAGCATTATCCTGTGGGTGTACTGGTTGAATCAACTATGTGTATCAGATTTAACATTGCAAAACGAAAAGAGCACACGGTACAAGAGATATTCAAGATGTTACACAATAACATCAGTATATATATTCTCTATACATGTCTCCTTATGGTGCTCATAAGGAGAATTTGTTGAACAATCAAGAGTTTCTCTAGTTGGTGGTCATTTTCTTTATTCTAGTGACCATAATGGGTGATTCAGGGCTGATATTAGATGCCAGCCAGGGTCAAAGGGTTAAGGATATCGGCAGGTGGAATTTCAAGTGTTGCAAAATATGACTTTGCTTTCAAGAAAAGTAAAGCTAGGAAATCGTTCAAGAAGATTTAAATATTGGTATAGCAAGTATAGGCTGCTCTTATTTCTATCATCTCAACATCAGTGTTAAGATGCAAATTTTTCCAACTAACCCACCGCCTTCGTCTCTCCATCATTAAGTAATTGCTCATATAGAATCTTGAGGGTGTGTCTAAAGACTTTTTACCGCCGGGATCTTGAGCCCAAGTTCAAAAATAAACAAGAGGCAGGCCACGAAAAGTTCGTTAAAAAAAAGGTGGAAAGTCAGCACTGAAAAAGGGGTTTCCTTCTTGACGACAGCGACATATTCACTCACTTTCTGGGCATCCATAGAGCTCCATCCTCATGGCTATATAACTGTGCCAGCCTTTAGGTACAACACGGAAATACACAGCTTTGATTGGTGGAGAGAATGCATTATTCTTCACGGAGTAACGATCGCTGTTACCGGGGAAATACTGGAAACCAATTAAAAGGAAGAATAAGCATTAAGTGTTATGTACGAAGCGGCTTAATTCACCCGTGGGGAGGGGGGAGGGGGATCACGGTTTTCAGGGACAAAGGAAGAGGGATTAGTCGTCCCTAACAGAGGTTTATGGGTGGGGGGGTGGCTGTAGAAAGTTGACTGTCAATTAACTGCCTGTGAGGACGGGGGGGTGGGATGTCTTAGAAATATTACACAGCCTTGGGGACGATCAATTAAATTTCATCTTGGAACAAACGACCTCCCCTCCCCCCTTAGGTGATAGATAACGACTACTCCCTTTTGGAGTGTTAGTTGTAAAGAAAATACCTTTACACAAGTGAAACAAAGTCAGTCTCAGAAAGCCAAATATGGAGATATGAATATTAAAATGTCAAAAAATGCGTCCAGCGGATTACCTTAAAGTTTCCATATTCCATGTAATATTCATAATGTATGTTATCCTGACTGAACGCCACCAAATAACGTGTCACCCATTGGTTGGCATCCGCTCTTCCTTGTGTTGCAATTCCTGTGATTTTCATTGGTCGACCAAGAGCGACCTGCAACCATTGATTGGCATTCCTAATACGGGCGACCCAGGCCCCCATGAAGCGACCGGTACGAGAGCGGTGGAGTCGAGCGAGGAATGGACCATGGTAGACGTTATAAGAAGAAGAGGCGGTCATGGCCGTGTTTTTGATTTTACCGCTCTGAATGCCAACTGGAATGGCGCACGGTCGAGCTGGAAGAAAATAGTGTCTATAGTGAAGGACATCATCAAATAATTACAAAATGATGCATGAAAAAGTAGCCATAAATCGCGTACCTCTTACACCAATACTAGAAAGGTAGAAATTCTGAATTTAGGAGGTTTTCATTTGATATTCTACCAAACTCCCCTTACTCAATTTCAAGGAAATGTTTAGCAGCCAAGAGGGAGAATTACTCATGGGATCTAGAGAGTTTTTTTTTCACGAGTCACGTACCAGCCAAACAGCCATAGAACTCAGCCCTCATAGAGATGTGACTGCGCCAAGACTTGGGATGAATTCGAACAAACTGCGCTTTGAAAGGAGGTACGAATCTGTAAGCAACCACTGTGTGACGGTCAAAATTACCACGGAATACCTGAGACGAAACACGTAAATGAAGGCAAGGTGAGTATACTATCTGTGAGCAACATCGCTCCACTATTGCGTATTGCAAATCTATTTAATGTTCATTTTTTTGATATGTCACGCTACAGCAGCCTTGTAAGTTGAAGGCGCTCTTTCCACAACGCTGGAACGGAACATTATACATGTAGTGAGTTGAAAGGCAAAATCTAAAGAATATCTTAACTGCGCACTACAAAAATAATAATAAAAGATAATTGGAATAAGCCCACCCACTAGCTTCAACAACTTATGTCAGGATGAAAGGCAAAACTATTTGTCCCTTCGTACAAATTGACACAAAATCAGGTAAAATCCTACTACCTAATATCTTTCTCGCAAGACATATACGTGCAGGGTTTTGATAAGTTTTATCATGATGCCTTACCCTTGTTCTTCCATATTGCTTATAAGGGAAGAAAGTTCTGCCATTTCTACTGTACGATACGACGTATGACATCACCCACTGGTGGGCATCTTGTCTTCCTTGGGTGGCCACGCCCATGACATGACCCAAGACACCAAAATCAACCTATTGACAAACATATAAAAAAACTCTCATTTTTTACAATATCAATTATGGAACCGAGGGCGACTTTCAAAGTTTGAATATCACGCTGTTTAGCTGTGACACCAAGTAGAAGAACACAATCATTCGTAATTCTAGTCAGCGCTATGCATTAGATGGACTCTTTGAGGAATCGCTACCGAAATAAAAGAACGGGTTCTAAACACACGCTTTCATTTAAATACATGTTTCAAATCCTTCAAAACGCTGAGCATGGACATATGCAAAGCACCGAAATGTGACACCATCAATCCACATAAGGGAAGATAAATTTATGATCTTGAATTAAGCTTCATAAACTCGCTAACAAACGTCGAAGATCAAGTGGTTTATATCTTGACTAGCTTTACCTGGAACCATTGTTTTGCGTTGTTCCTCTGAGCACACCAAGCACCCGTCCGTCCACGACCTGCAACCATGTTGAGTCGCCCTCGTTCGGGGCCATGTTTGGAGTTGTAACTTGAGGAAGCGGAGAGTGAACCACTTGGGATACGCCGATCGTCTAGACCAATAGGAACCTTGCACCTTCCTGTAAATGATTTTAGACAACACTGTTACTTGAAATCTTGCTACGCAAATTTGTTTCGGCTACAAAATGCAGTATCATCTACTACCGTTTGATGACCGCGTTACACTAAATCTATGCCGAATGTTAAGTGCGGCCGGGTGCTCTCTTCAGGATTCAATCACAGCGTATTGCTTTAATCGACTTACTTTTTCGCTATACCTTGTTATCAGTCCCGTAATGTAAAGCCCACTGTATGAAATCGGTGTTGATCTTTTTGATTCTCTATCAATTTAATTTAAGAAATCGGGAAAATTCTGAGTCGCTTCGGGGCCACCTTAGCAGAATATAACGTACCTATAGCACAACCATAAAGCTCAACTCTGGTCGAGATGTGTCTGTACCATGATCTAATGCGAAGTCTGACAAAACGGCCTCGGATTGGTGGAATGAGAGGATGAGAAACAACTGTGTTTCTATCGCGGTTTGCTTGGAAGATCTGATGAATAAAACATCAATCACTTCTTAAATAGATCTCTTAAACATTTAGGATGAGGAGTAGCCGGATACAAGCTTAAAGGATCCCTTCCAACCACAATACATTGCGCGCGCGATATGTGAAATC